AGTACTGTCAAAGATTTGTGCTACCTCTCTACTCGGGTTTTGCTAAGCAGGCTTCCATGTACGTCAACCTTGGATTTACATGACTGCTTCACTCAGATTTCATATAACTCGTCTATTACACTATTCTTCCACAGTCTCCCAATACAAACTGGTGTGATCTAGTTACAGATATCGATCCACCTTTTTACTCATAGTTGCTATAACACTGTACTGAGAATTTGAATTTTTTGTCACTAGTAGGATTTGAACTCTGTTCCTACCACTTGGGGGTGTGACAACTTCACTACTTCACTAAGTCATTATACTCTACTATCAATTTTTATCTAAATCGATTTTTATCATAAATAATAATTATTAATTTTTATCTAATCAATTTTATTACAAATAATAATATTAATTTTTATCTATATCAATTTTTATTGATATTTATCATATAAATGATAATTATTAATTTTTATCTATATCAATTTTTATTATATATATGATTATCATCAATTTCTAATCTATATTGATTTCTTACAATAGTGTTGTTATTAATCAATTAATATCTTTGATTATAATTAATACTTATTATCCTAAAAATTTACTGATATTATTTCTGAATGACTTTGAATTTATAAAGTAAATATAAAGATGTATGTATAACTTGCATTATATAAAGAAAGAATTTTATAACTTTTTAGTGTAGATTTGTTTTAGATTCTAATGTATATATGCTTTAACCTAAAAATCTTATTATCAATTAACATATTAGCTAATAGAACATAGATTAATTTAGATATTATTTGAATATGGCTTGCTATTAAGTCTAATTTAAATATCAATATAAAGATAGTATACTATAGTTTAAGATATACATAAAATATTTAATCTATATTTTTTAAAAAAAAATTAAATAATTAATTGTAAAAAATCCAATACAGTAAATCTAATATAGTAAAATATATTTAATTTTAAAAAATATACTTGTTTAAAACAAAGTATAGTTATAAAATTTATTATCTTATATTCTAAAAATCTATTATTTTTAATCTAATATTCTCTAATGTTAGAAAATTTAAAAATACTAGCATATATTAATATTGCAAACTAAATTTTAAATTCTTCTACTATTAATTCTATTCATTTATAATTTTTATCAACATCTTTTAAATAAGCATATTTATTGATATTTTGTACTATTATATTTATTTGTTTATAAAAAAAAACACTAAAAATTGAATATAATAATAATAAAGAAGATTTATATTTAGTAAGTAAGTTTAATATAAATTCATATATAGATCTTGAATATTAAAATTTATTAAAAGAAAAAAGAAAAGGAGTTGTATAGTTTCATAATTTTTTAATTACAACCTTAGTTACAGCTACTACTATAGTTATAACTATTATTACAGCCACGCTATAATCAGAACCATGCTCTTAAATATAATTATAACTATCTTTATTATCTTGAATTTCATTTTGAACATCTTCATATTAAATATTATAACTTTTATTTTCTTCAGAATTACTTTGTTCATAATGTTTATAAATACTACTATATATAATAATTCTACAATATACATATTATTGTTATCCTGTTCATTTAAAATTGTAGTTTCTATTGCAAAAATTTCATAATAAATAAATTTTTTTTTAAAAAAAAGTTCAAAATTTAACTAAAATATCTTATAAAAAAAATCAAAGAAATTCTTTAAATAGTTGTTTTTGCTCTTTTTAAAACAATAATAAGGCTTGTAATTAATCTAGATATATTTAATGAATATTGATTAATGTCTATTTAATACAAAAATATAATTAAACAATTTTATAAAAAATACAAATTTACACAAGTTGATTATTCAGCCTGTTATAACTATTATCTAATAAAATTATTAATAAAATATGAGCAAGGCCTTATTTTAATACTAAAAAAATTTTAAATACAATATAAGTATAAAATTACACCTATAAGCATTATTTTAAAAATTAAAACCTTCAAAAATAGTCTATACAACTTTGAATTAATGCTTATGTTATTCTGAATTAATGCATATTCTTTTATAAAAAACTAAAAAAGTAAAACATGCATTGAAACTAAATTTGGTGCTGAATAAACTTTTTTAATAATCTAACAAAAGTTATTTTTTATAATAGACAATACTAACTATGTAAAATCATCAAAGATGGTCCAATAGATTATCTGCAAATAAATTAGCCAGGGCGGCCTCCCAAAGTACTGGTCACATAATGAACACAGCAGCTACAGCTATATGTTTCTAAACTCCAACAATCGTAAATTGCTTATATATTCCAACAATCGTATATTAGCATTTCCTGATTGGTGAAGATTCATCATGTGACAGTACTTTGGAAGGGCTGCCCTGGCTAATTCATCTGCAAATATAAACAAACATTTTAATTTCAAAAAATCATTGCAGATTAACAGGGCTGTTTTGATAGTTTTACCACTATTAGAAATGACTTAGTCTGAAGAACAACTTTTGTTAAAAAAAAAAAGGTTACTTGGTACCAGATTTAATTCTGGTGTATTTTTTATTTCTTACTAATTATTATAGAACAGGGTGAAACCTGTATTGATTTTGTAAATTAGTGTGGATATGAAAAGGTGAAACTCAGGTTACTTTCTTGATGCAAATCTATTTTTAATTAGGGCTAAGGTAATAATGTACATCAATAACATAACCACCTCCGGCTAGGGTGAGTGGCATGAAAGTCACAGGTATGCCACCATGGCATGCCTATGGTGGCATGCCATTAGTATGCCTAAAACTTAAATGGTCAATAGGTATGGCATTTATTAAAGTTCTGAAATATTCCGAGTAGAAAATCAAAGTTTGAAAGAAAAAATTGAAGCATAGTTCCGAAATATTCCGAAAAGGCACAAAACCGCACATATATAACCGACCAATTTAAATTATTTATTTTAACGTGGTTTAGTGGCATGCCACCCTGGCATGCCTGGCACGAGCTTTGGCAAATGGCATACCATCTGGCGCACAAGATTTTTTAGTCATGCGACACCCTACCTCCGACGCGGGTTTCACCCTGTCGTATTATTATTAAGAGGTGATCATTTACCTATATTTCGAAATAACGCACATGCGCGTACTCAAAATAATGCGCAGGTCAGTTAATTAACGCGCACATGGGCGTTATTTCGCGCTTATACGGTATTAAAAAAAAATAAATCAGAGCTAATTTTATAGTATTTAACTGTTAAGCAGGCAAATTTGCCTGCTAAAGTCTACAAATCAAGGGATAAAAAGTTCATTATATCTATAATCGACTGTATTTTTAATTAATTCAACGAATTTAGTCGGATAATTTATGAGTGGATATCTGAAATCCGAAAAATAAACAAATGGATAGTCGGATTTCCACTGGATCCAAGCTCTATCCACTACCATAGTGTATTTAATAGCTAGATCATAGATTAATCATGTCAATTTGCAAGAAAACTTGCCTGTAAGACGAATTGAGATAATTGGATACCTTTCTATTCTTCCAATTTTGTAACTCTACTGATATGTGTTGAAAATTTTTACCAATAATTGATTACAGAATCATGTTTTTATCAGGTTAATTTTTTTTTATTAAGAGCTTTTTCAATCAAATGAACTACATAAAAAGATGTATTTTTTTTGTTCTTTCAATAATCCATTTGGACTTCTGCAGGTATTAATCATGCTTTGAATCTTTCATACTTTAACCTGATTACGTATATTACAACTATTAGTAATAAATGATAAACAAATAAATTTCATAGTATTCTATGTCTGTTACTATACAACATCTACATTAAATCAAATTCATGAATAAAATAACAGTTTGATAATAAAAAATTAAATAAACTATACGAAAATTATATAATTATCCTAAAGATAACTCGCTAGCCAATTTATTAAACGTTGTGAATGCATCTTCGCGTGTGCAATCCGGCACACCATCATTTAGTCCGGAGTATACCATAGACACAGTAGAATGTAATTGTTTTGAATGAAATGCTGATAACTTTCCATATCCGCCTGGGGATATTACCTATTTAATCATAAAAATAAATGATTAGAGATTTAATGATAAAAAAAAATATATATATATATATTTATATAATTTTAATGCATACTCTGTAATCAGTTTTACTCAATATCCAATTCTCAATTATTGCATTATTAATCTCATCCGCTTTATCCCAATCATAATTATCTCCTTTATACCCTTCACCACTGACAGGCAATCCTGAAACAATAACATGTTCAAGTTTCTGAATAGCTTCATCTCTTAACCTTACAGAATCTGTTACCAAAAAATAAATAACTTTCTGTGATGGTTCAGAATACACTTGAGTTAATTGATCTGCGCATCTAAAAAAATGTTTATATTCCTGTAGTGAATGTGAGTGACCCAGACCATCTTTTTTATTCATCTTAGAATCACCCGTTCGAATTTGGATTCCAACAGAAAAAATGCTAGGTAACGCAAACAAAGATGTATATTCAGTGATGAACCACAAAGCTTCAGGGACAGGACGAAACAAGTAATCAAGAATACACCCAATGGCTGTGTGTGGTCTTAATCCAATATCCTTTAAATGTTTCGAATAATGTTTTGAACTGAAAGTTCTCATTATCATCCCTCTATTGGTATAAAACTTTATAAATGGTTCCGGATACTTTTGAGTCCAATTATGTAACAAAAAATATTGGTCCAAATGTTGAGCATCAAAGTCGATAACGTTAAGATCACTAGATTGCAAAGAAAGAAGTGAAGGTAGGGGTGAAAGGGAGTCATAACTCCAGTCGATGTTTGATGATGAGAATACTGCTTCTAGAGGGATAGGGACCTGCCAGTCTGCGAGGAAAGCACGGTTTGTAAGAAGAGCAAATAAAAATGTTGATGTCATGCCAAATATCCTAATTAAAGAAAACCATATTTTTATTTAAAAAATGGTAGACGGCAAGGCAACTACAACAATGTTTAGAATATAGATTCATAACTTACCGGTCTGCCAATCCACCACAATTTGTACTAGCATCACAAATATAAGTAACATATCTCTGTTCCACCTTATTATCCAAAATATTTGCATGCAACTTTGAATATTCTTCTTGCCACTTTCCACATGACGAATCCAAACTTTCATCTGCATTAATTTCTACTGATTGAATACTTTTAATATCTGCTAGTTCTTCATTGGTCAATGAATTAATTACATCTACATATGTGAAATGAGGCTGCGGTGCTTTATAAGTGTATTCAGAGTAATCTATTACATTTGTCTCTTCATCAGAGTTTCGTGACTTTATGTGATAATGCCTATGCATCTTTTTCATTAATTTGTTTGGTCGACCAGATATTTGTGTAGATTTATTCAAGATAGAATAAACTGTAGGATTTAACAGTTGCATTAATTCTTCTTCACTAAAGTAATTAATATCATGACTTGAAATGTCACTAACTTTATCATTTTTGGAAAGAATTTCATCGGAATGCCCAAATCCTTCATCTTGAATAATTGGGTCATCTAAAAGCTCATCATCAGGAAACAAATCTGCAATTTCTCCTTTCTTAATCACAGTATTATCTAAATTATTTTTGTAATCTTTTGTGCGATCATTATTGTTATCATTTTGGTAATTACCATCATTCGTAATCTCTATATTATGTTTATTATCATTCATTATATCATCAAAAATAGGTTCCTTGTCTGATGGAATTATTTTACTAGCTGGTGGGTCTGTAATTATTTCATCAAAAGGCATTTCTATGCCGCACAAACTTCCCAAAAATATCACTAAAGATCCAAAAAATGCAATCAGATAGAAAAGTTGTCTCATGGTAGTTATCATTCCATAATTTACATATGATGGATTAATTGTTCTCCGATCTTTTTTCTGCAAAACTGATCCATGAAATTTTGATTTTGTTATTGGTGCATTCTTTTTTTCGTCGACTGTCGACATATATCTATCATTAAGTGATTGGTAGGATTTTTGATCCATAAGGGAGTGGGATTGATACTGGCGTTGTTGAGAGATAATGATAGGATCCACAGTCCTTTGTATGGTAGGAATGGAAGGGTTTTCGGAAACACCGTCTATATTATTTATACTCTTTCTACGATGTGACATTATACATTCATCGATTTAAAATATACTTTTTTTTTTGTTTTTAATGGTGTTGATAAGAAACCAATCAAATGAGAAGTAGTTAAGTATAACGAAAGAATGTAATTTTATTATATAACTAAAAATAAATTTCAATCAAGTATCGATACCAAGGAGAAGAGTTATAGAAGACGCATACGCATGTACCAACATAAATTAAATACATATTTTTGGAAATTTAAATGTGAAACAATAACAAATGCACTTATAAGTATATATGCAACATTTGTTACCTCATTATATATGTAGGACTTAAACTTATAGGGGTAATAAAATAATGATAAAAAGGAAATTTGCTTTTAAATTGATTAATGGATTTTCACTTTACTGGGTTCCGCGCCCCGAAACATCTAATTCACGTGATTTTTCTACGTATGCCCTCTTTTTACTTTCCAGATCAAAAGTAACCAAAGCAATACATGTTATCGATTATATACAATCAATTACTGGATTAGTTTTTCAGAGTATGAAAAATCCAATTATCAATTGAAGAGTACTCTTTTTTTAACAACACTAATTTTAAGTCTGAACAAATGCATTCCAAAAATTTTAAAATTTCAAGTTATATAGTATTGGCTAATTTTTATGCTACGTATTTGAATTGTTTTAAGATACATATATGTATAAAAATTATATACGTACTTTTGCTTATTTTAATCGTATTGACTGTTACTTTTATCTATCAGCTATAAGTGAATTCTAATGTTCAAACCTATGTTTTAGAATAATTATACAAGAATCTGATTCAAAAAGCCGTGTGATAGAAATCGAGTCTTAAAACCAAAGCCTGAACCAACCCTATCACTATGAGTGGTTAGATCAGTATTACACAAATTTATATTGATCAATATTTAGTATAGTATAGGGTGCGCATTGCCTATTGTAAAAACTAATTCCTAATTTTAATGAAAAATCTTACCATAATAATCTGTTTTAATCCTAACGCTAACGCTAATCATATAAAGCGGATCAATATCACTTCATACTCAAAATTATGTTAACGCTAAAAAATGTTCTCCGACAATGCACTCGTGGCTGATGATCATTCGATACTCCGACACATATAATTGATAGCAAAAACTGTATGCATACGTTGTAGGTGGATTCTGAATCTATTGAAGTAAATTTCGGATCTCAAAACAACTTATCGCGCTTTTCAAATTACTGTGTCCACTGATTTTCATACATCACACCGGAAATCAGAAATCTAGAATAAATGCAAATTTGTGATTGGTTAAAAATAATTTTTAGCTAATCACGTATTGGCATTTTTTCTAGATTTCCGATTCCCAGTGTGATGTATGAAAATCAGCGGACACAGTAATTTGAAAAGCGCGATAAGTGGAAATAGAATTTCATAATTGTTATAACATTAAATATGGGCTTGGTGCTGCAAAAAGGGACGAAATTGACAAAAAAAAATTCTTTTTCAGAAAACTGATTTTTATAATAACTTATAAGAAAATAAAAAATTTTAAAGAATTTTCTGCAAAATTTTATTAAGATAATAACATTTGTTCCTTAAGTGAAAAATGTTTCTAGACTAATTTTAGATGAGATAAGCCCAAAAAAAAAACAAAAAAAAAACAAAAAAAAAAACAAAAAATTAAAAAATGGCAATTTCGTTCCTTTTCTTAGCACCTAGCCATATTACAAATGTTCTCTATTTTTATACTTAATATTATGGGAACGGCAACCGCTTCCATCGTCTACATCTACAAGAATTTTTTTTTCACTCATCTTACATCATATTGTGTGCCGGTATAGTAGAAACAGACTACTGCGGTTTTTCGTGCATTAATAATTTGCCTTGATCAACTTCAAGCTATCCGTCCCCAGTGGTATAATTTTACTCATCTTATAGTATTCCAATAGACATTATCAAGTATAATATTCCATTTTACATCACAAGTGATATGTTTCATTTGACAATTTCTTGATTATTTTGCAAGATAAGGTAGACCGGACAATGACTTATAATCTATTTTCGAATTGTAGCACATACGTAATCATTAAATAGCATTTCTCAACTCCCGTAGTTGAAGGGATTTTTAATCCAAATATCGACCTTTTGGAGTTCCCAAATTTGTATTAGTAGGCTCATGTAGTACTGCAATAGTAAGTTCATAATCGGATGTAAAATAAAAGTTTTATGTCTAGCGAAAAACTTATTAACTAATTCGTTAAAAACTTGTTTAAAAGAATATTCTTGGGTTGACATTTCAACTTGAAAACTTTTTCAAAATACAGTATAATTCTTTTAAATACGTATGATTTATGATTGATAGTTTTAAGATCCGTAATCGATTTAGTTGTTGCCGGATCCGAATCCACAGAATTCTAAATCCACCTTCATAGGAAGAAGTTCGTCTGATTGGCTGATGTAAATCAATTGCCCGGGTAAC